GGATTCGAACCCGCCACCTTAGGTGTACGTGGCTGGCGCCTTAGCCGGTTGAGCTATAGGCGCCGAGCCAAGATTTGATATTTTGAGACAGACCACATTGACATAACTTTTTAGTAGCACCTTATTATAATTCCTCCATTTTATTATTAATCTTACTATGCCAAATTCATAAATTAAAATCTTCTCATAGGTATGTATATGGGAAATCAGTATATGAGGGCTGACTAGAAAGTATCCAGCCATGTTTGTCTCTATTTTTCATAGTATATGGCTGGATACTTTCTCAGCACCCCTCATATATAGGGTTTGGTACTAGCCAAGGTTTCGGGCATTCACTGGGGCTCTTGGAACATAACCCCCACAGATAAGGGGGAATTCCTTTACTGGTTCATAATAGTTTATCCAAAATTGTTGGGTATACATATGTTTCACAATTCAGAATTTCCCAGAACTTAATACAAAGTTTCATAATTGGGATGACCATTTGGCTAAGTGCAGTTAAAACTATTGCTTTAGGTGAATAGAGGAAAGTGCAGCATTGGCAGGGGAGGATCAAGGGAGGTTCCTTACCTCAAAGCCAGCACCTTGGCCTCAGGTAACACTACAAGCAATAAAGAGAGAAAATCACTGGGGAGGGGAGAGTAATACTAAATCTTTTTATCAGCTTCATTTTTTTGCTAAGTATATAAATTCTCTTGCCATCCCTTTCCAAACTGCAGATAAACTAAGAGCTATTTTCAGTCTTTTTAGCTGAAACCAGAAAAGTCAAGTAATTCTCAACCCTGCCAAGACTATACATTCTAATGATATCCAAGCTCTGGTCTGGTTTTTGGTTACTTCTGCATGAAATCACGATCTTCCACCATGATTCATGAGAAGACTAAAAATCAACCCTGCTAGTAACAGAAACCTCTTCTCTTCACCACCCAATCAAGATTTATTCTTGCCAGGCGAGGTGGCTCAATGTTTGTAACCCTAGCAGTCTGGGAGGCCAAGGTGGGTGGATCTCCTGAGCTCACAGGTTGGAGACAAGCCTGAGCAAGAGGGAGACCCCTATATCTAAAAATAGCTGGATGTCGCATGGTGGAAACCTATAGTCCCAGCTACTTGGGAGGCTAAGGCAAGAGAACCACTTGAGCCCAGGAGTTTGAGGTTGCTGTGAGCTACAATGCCATGGCACTCTACCTAGGATTAAGAAAGTGAGACTCTGTCTTAAAAAAGGAAATAGAGTGGGCAGCACCTGTGGCTCATTGAGTAGGGCGCTGTCCCCACATACCAAGGGTGGTGGGTTCAAACCCAGTTCCGGCCAAACTGCAACAAAAAATAGCCAGGCGTTGTAGCAGGCGCCTGTAATCCCAGCTGCTCAGGAGGCTGAGGCAAGAGAATTGTCTAAGCCCAAGAGCTGGAGGTTGCTGTGAGCTGTGACAACTCAGCACTCTACCAAGGGCAACAAAGTGAGACTCTGTCTCTTAAAAAAAAAAATAAGATCCGAAAAAGATTAAAGTGCTACAGCTCCTTTAGATTTGTTTTCCATTATTTCCCAAAAAGCCTATATAAGGTGAGGGGTGAATAACTATTCAAACCTCCCCTTGTTAACGTACTGGAATATAAGTAAAATAGGTACTGTAGATGGATCTTCCAATGCTCAGCCCAGTGGCTGCAACATTCTTAGAATGTGCAGTTGCTTCAACTTTATCCTATACCTTATCCTATTCCTAACATTCCAAAGTCAACTATTTTGCTTTTCTATACAAAATCTTTTAACCTAACAGATGAAGTAGCTCATAGCTTTAAATTTGTGGAATAGAAAAAATAATAGCCTATTGCCTTGACAATAGGCTGTGACGCATGCAAAGCTTGCTTATGCCAAAGGTGCAACAAGGACTTGGCTTCTGAAAAAGTAGGTATTTCTGTTGGAAGAGATGATACAGTCACATTGTGAAGACTTCTTAGCACTCATTTTTCTGGTTCACAAACCGCTGTGTTTCCTGTTTCAGGGACTCCCTAGCAGGGACTCCTTGGGAATGGATGGTCCTGTGCAGAATTGTGACATCATCACAGACTGCCCCTTTTAAAAACTCTCCTTTCTTTCACCAGAAGCGTCTCCCCCTACTTAGACTCCCAGGGTTCTTACTCTTCTGATTTCTGTCAAACAGCAAATTCAAACAATAGATTCTCAATTATCACTTTAAAAGCACTACAGAACGGTTGGGTATGGTGGCTCATGCCTGCAAGTCCCAGTTACTTGGTAGACTGAGGCAGGATTGCTTAAGCCCAGAGTTCAAGATCAGGCTGGCTGATATGGCAAAACCTCATCTCTTAAAAAAAAAAAAAAAGTGCTATAATAAAAAAGATTAAACCAAAAGAATGAATCTCTGAATGGTGGAACTTCGGAGACTTTGGTATCAGTGTGAAGTCTCTGAGTGAGAGGCTCTTCTTGGTGCTTGGAAGCCCACTCTGATGGCAACCTTGTCCATGTATTCCTTAAGAGCTGACCTGCTGGGTGGCACCTGTGGCTCAAGGAGTAAGCCCCATATACCAATGGTGGTGGGTTCAAACCCAGCCCTGGCCAAAAAACTGCAAAAAAAAAAAAAAAGAGTTGACCTGCTTTTCTGAACTTGCGAAGGTGGTCTTCCTGTTTACCCTTAAGTAAAGGGCACAACAATCATCATATAATTACAAAACACAATTGAATGGTCCTTTTACTAGTTTAGTGCAAAGGAAGCCAAGTAAGATCAACTTACTTATAAAGAGGGAGTCTTTATATCGAATGCAGCTAGGCATATAAATCAAAACTAGCCAAATAACTATATTCAGCAGAGTTAAAATACTTCAATACACATGTAAAAGTATACAATAAAAATTTCAAATCTTGGCTCAGTGCCTGTAGCTCAGCGGGTAGGGCACCAGCCACATACACCTGAGCTGATGGGTTTGAATCCAGCCCAGGCCTGCCAAACAACAATGACAACTACAACCAAAAACTGGCCAGGCATTATGGTGGGCACCTGTAGCACAGTGGTTACGGTGCCAACCATATGCACTGAGGCTGGAAGGTTGTCCAGTGAGGCCTGGGCCAGCTAAAACAACAATGACAACTGCAACAAAAATAGCCAGTGTTGTGGCAGGCACCTACTCCCAGTTATTTGGGAGGCTGAGGCAAGAGAATCGCTTAAGCCCAAGAGTTGGAGGTTGCTGTGAGCTGTGATACCATAGCACTCTACCCAGGGTGACAGCTTGAGACTCTGTCTCAAAAAAAAATTTTTCAAATCTTGTTATAAGTAGAAAACTTACCACTTCAGTCTTCAGCAAACGGTAGACTTAGTAGATGGTTGAGTGTGTGTACCTCTTGAGGAAAACATATTTTTTGAGGAAAATTTTTGTTGCAGGATTTTTCCTTTTGGGGTGTATATGTTGTAAACAACAAGAAGATTTTTTTTTTTAAGCAAAAATCTGTGGAGGAGGAGAAATCTCACAGTTTACTCTTACCTGAGTCAGCTTCTGCCATAAATTAGGGCTAAAATTTTAGGGTAAATTAAGTGCAGTGTTTTAAATGTATGAATACATAACATGGAAGAGTCTTTTAAAGGGGTGGCAACAGAAACAAAAATGTTGATGAGAACAAAGGATCTAGCGCAGTGGCTCACGCCTGTAATCAGTAGCACTCTGGGAGGCCAAGACAGGTGGATTGCCTGAACTCTCTGGTTCCAGACCAGCCTGAGCCAGAGCCAGACCTTGTCTCTTTGAAAAAAAAAAAATAGCCAGGCATTATGGTGGGCGCCTGTAATTCCAGTACATGGGAGGCTGAGGCAAGAGGATCTCTTGAGACTAGGTGTTTGAGGTTGCTGTGAGCAATGACACCATCGCACTCTACTGAGGGTGACAAAGTGAGACTGTCCCAAAAAACAAACCAAAGGGAATGAGAATGAAGAAATGACCCAAACCCCTTCTGAAGAGCCTGAATATGATAATCCAAGTACGAAGGAATTGAGATTGCTGTAAATTTTTGGTGGAGGAGGTTAAATTCGAACTGATACAGTGGATGTCAATGGCTAGTTAAAATGCTAACGAGAGGGCCACAGGACTGGGCTAGTGCACTTAAGTTTCATTAGTCTGCAGAAAGACTTTCACATGCATTTGAGTATGGTCAACTGAGACTTTCGCGGCAATTTTAGCGTTATTTCCCCAGCCCTGTTACCTTCCACCACCACCCCTGTGCTCGCCCCCAACACCTGCTACTTTAAATACATCGAATCTTTCCAAACTGGCTTTGAAGAGTTAAATTTTTCAACAGGTATGTACATCGCAGAAGTACACATCAACTCAGATACCCACGTAACAAGACAATTCAAAGGCAATCACCCTTTTCTAATCTCAGGATTTCCTTTTTGGGAACCCGTCATGTGTGTGGTTTAGAGAGCCTGGGAAGGCCGGTTCATAGATTATAAAAGCAATTTTTCATTTCTTAGTCCTGAGTCACTACTCTGCCTTGTACTGCCTAGAGATTTAATGGGAGTGAACCTGAGGCACTGAATTCTGCGCTCTCAGGTTTTCCAATTCTTCCGCCGGTCTTCAAAGAAAGGTAGATTGCTCTCGTGCTGCGCCCACTCTGAAAAGCGGGATATGGCAGCCACTGCAAAGGGAGACCCGAGGGCAAAGCCGAAACCTGGTGAAGATCAGGGACTGAACTAGAGACGGAGAAAGGAAAGGGTGAGGAAGGAAAGGAATGCCCCTTCGAGGAAACCGACACGGCACAACAGAGGTGACCAGTCGCCAGCAGGCCAGCGCCCCGGAAGGCGCACCCAACGCCTTCCGCTGGTCCGCGAGCGCCCTCTCTCGCCCCGCGCGCACGGCCTGAGAGGCACGTCCGCGCGCTCCTTCCGCGCGCGGGGGGCGGGGCCTGCGCGGGGGCGCGCGCGGGGCCGTGGGCAGGGGGGCGGGGCGGCAGAGCTCGGCGGCTGGGCCTGGAGGACAGCGGCGGCGGAGGCGACAACAGTGACGGGAACGGCGCCGAGAGGCCGTGCGGGACCCGGGCGCCAGGAAGCGGAGAGAGCAGAGGTAACGCAGGACGGAACAGGAGAGCGGGGAGTGAGCGCGGGCTCGCTGGGCTCCGAGGGCGAGTGGTGGAGGCCGCTCGCCCTGGCCGCCAACGCTGCTCCCTGAGAGGGGGCGGGGCGCCCTGGCCCCAGGAGGTGGTGCCTTT